CCATTTGTACATTCGTAGTGGCTTCAAATGCGATGTGGCCAAGTACAGTGTTTTTATCCTCCCAGACAAGTCTGGTACCAATTAACCGACCCCGGAGGGATGGAAGGCTTGGTTGGCCCGGGCGACTCACGACCCAGGATTTGATCCCCGGACCGCTCGCGTGGATAAGCGTACCACTTCCGCCCGTTCCTGTGATGCTACAGTAAAATTCGGTAAAGAGATGGGGCAGCAGGAGTTGAGCGCAAATCTCGCCATTATCAGAGCGCAAGGGTAAAGAGGAACAAACAGTTGTTTGGAATTATTTCCATTTCCCAGCAGATGAATGACCAAGTGTGGGATGGGTGTACCATTCTCTCAAAACATGAGTGACCAAATCAAGGCTGAGTGGGTGTGGCGTGCATCGAGATAGGCTATGCTGACGAGCGAATTTTCAAATTGGATTCCAAAACAGCCTATAGACTGGTAAAAATGGTTAGAAGTGAGCAAGCCAGATCGAATGAGGGAAACCTCGCCTCGGTGAGCGGAGCTCCACCAAAAAAGGGTGCTCAATGAAAAATTCATAACTCTGTTAGGAGAAACCCTACAGAGCAGAAAAATTGGTAAGCAACTTCAAGGTTTCCCAGCATCCATGACGTGAGCGAATGTGGGGGAGCGTGCCTCAAATTGGACAGCGTTTCCTACAAATCCTCATTCAAGAAGCTTTAGAGAGCCGGAAAAGGTGGATAGAGGTCAGTGGAAGGAGGAAAGATGGTTCTGTCGGTGGGCTGGTATGCATCTTAGCGGCGGATACCACGAGTTTTATAAATCGCTTCAGAGGCAGCTCAGAGACCGGGAAAAGCGGATAATGGTTAAACGGAGGGAAGAGTAAACGCTACCGGTGGGCACGCAGCGTGGTGGGCCGGGCTGAAAACCACAGCAAACCCAGCTCCGACAACAAGAAAAAGAACGTAGACTGAAAGGAAAGCAGGAAATCTATCATACCTTAGAGGGGAAAGTCAAATAAATGCAAATTTAAGTGCGGCGTAGTTCCGTGTCGCCGAGAACTGTTTGAGCGTCGTATAACAAACGTCCGACAATACGGTTACCCTACCCGTGAGGAAGGGGAGAAATATGCATCCCCACTTTCTCGCAGCTTTCATAGAATCAGATGCACTTCCTTCTTGTGCCTGCCACAATGGTACTCACCTCCTCGATTTGCTCGAGATTCCTGAGATAATATTTTCTCTGCGAGACGTATTCTTTGAATTGCTCGCTCAGCTTTCCGTGACCAACGCCGTACATCGTTATGAGGACTCTGCCTCCAGGTTTCAAGGCCCGCTGCAAAAACTCAGTTTGGAAGCAAAAAAAACACAGGAACGTTCTGCTTCCGAAGCAGGAACGAGATATTCGGTGGTCTAATCACAATTGAGTCGAAGTTATCGAACTAAAAAATGCGTGAAAAACGTCTGATAAATCGATCTCACTCACGTAAATTCTTGAGAAGAGTTTCTCGGTGTCCTTGATATGTTGAATGCAATCCCGGGAGAAAACGTAATCAACGAATTCGGCTCAAAGTCGTACTCGACGGCGTCACAGACTGCGTAGCTGAAACGAAGTCTTCAGCAAGGCCTGAGGTGATGCAGAGGGTGTGGCTCTACGCACCCTCTGAGTCACCTCTAACCTCCCGTTCCACATTCTTCCCCAATGTGCAACTTGAGCTTTTAAGGTTGTTCTATATAATAAGGTAATTTGCGAGAAAGGCTGAAGGCAAAGGAACAGATCAATTTCCTACTAATAAATAAAGTGACACAAATTGCCTGAGACTATGAATAACCCTCCTCTCAAAACCAATCCTAACACATCCGCACTATCGGGAAAAATCTTGAAGTTCTTGTGCGACATTTTCGAAATCCAGTTCAATCGATTTGAAGACTTCTTGGAAAAGTTTGCTTTTCTGAAGTGTTCCGCTTCATACTTCACACAATGATACCATGCAACCTATCGGGGAAAGAACGGCATACTCATGATGAAGCAATTGCAGTATTTGTTGAAGCCATTGAGCACCATATCTTTGACGTAAAGCTCACCAAAAGAATGCTCAAAAGCGCCTTTTAAGGTAAAGCTTGCAATTTTGTGGTGTAAGGATAATTCCCTGATGGCAGGAGTATACGTACATATTACAGTTTGCGTGCGAATATGCTGTTGAAAAAGAAAACCCAAAGCGCAATCTACTGAAAATGAAATCTGAAATGAAAAATCGAAATTCCCCGTGCATGTTCTATTGGTTCCACGGACTACTTGATTTTTCCTCAATGGTCCTGCCGCGATGGCTAGAGCACAGACGATTAGAGAACGGGTGAATGCCCTAGGACTAAGCCTTGGAGAGGAGAGGGACCCGCGAGAGAGCGCAGAGGCGGTTTAAAGGGCTGAGTTCAAGTAGTCCGTCGACCATGTTCTATTATAGTTACTTGGTGAACTAAGAAGATTTCGACGCTATCTCAAAATACAGGGGCATCCTCTACGACTAAACCAGGAAGGGCCGGGAAATCGGGAATAAAAAATTGTTCAGCATTCTGTAGCCTCTTCTTCTCCAGCTACGGCTCAGTCCCATTCTTGAAGGAGGTAGATCCTTCGCCAGCACACCGCCCCCATATCTTGCAATAGTGCCTCATAATCATCTCTGCTCCCTTCCTTTTGGAAAGCTCAGCTTCAGTACGAGGTCAAGCATGCGCTCTTCCGTCTGGACTCTAAACCACTACTTGAAATGTTTCAACATGTGCACGTTCAGATACGCCAACGATACGTGAAGCGGAGTTAACGAAAACAAATAAACATTTAAAAGTTCCTGCAATGGGTTTTAACCAAAGTCAACTTTACTTTGCGCCAGGTACGACAGGTGGACGAAGGGATTGTAGTTCAGATTTTAGAATGGGAGTAGGGGGGGGAATCGCGGTGGTGGTAGTGGAGTTGTGCTACAATGAAAGGGAGTCGTTCTTGACGGAAAAAATGTCTCCCGTCGACAGACATTTTCTTTAGAGGTAAAGCGGAAGTCAAAAGGCAGAATTCTGATCATATTAGATTCTGAATATATCAGAAGAAACGCCGTTGTTCTTTATAGAATAACCACGTTTCATCCTTTCATCCCGAGGAAAACTGTCACGAAAACAAGTAATAAATTGAAAGACCAGTGAAATGCTTACGTAACACGAGCGTCTTTTTCCTTGTGAACGCGATCTAGAGCGACTGCAAGCATGTTCGTGGAAAGATCGACTCCTAGCACGTGAAGCCCGAATTCCTGGAGTAGATTCATGGAAAATTGATAAAATCAAAATTTCCGCAATGTACAAAATTGTAACAAAACTAGTACAGGATTTATTGGCTCGTTTCGGCAAAATCGCCTTCGTCGGAGCCTGGGGTCAGGTTTTCCGACACCAATTTTGACTTTCTAACCCTTTTTAAGCCGAAACGTGGGCGAATAAATCCAGCCCTAATCTCGGAGGCCAAAACAAGAAAGCTAAATATCACTCCAACTATGCCGAGATTAATTGCGAGTCGGTCATGGATTATTCTGTAACAAGACTATTTGGGTGAACAGAACTACTTCTGTTCCACTGTCCTAACCCTCACTTTCTACACCTGGGCCCCTACTTAAACTGTTCGCGGCTATTAGGAGGTTTATAAAGGGATTCGGAAATCATACTCCACACTGAATATCCCTAATCTCTTGTGGTTGTTCTCTCTCAAAGCACTGTTCAGGTAGAACTCACACTAGCAGCTTGTCTTGCACCGCCTCCTATCCCTACACCGATGTCCAGCATAGTTTGACCCGTCTTCATTGGTCCAAAACGTTTCAGGATAGCAAGGTTCTGGTCCCATCCTCCTGAAAAGAATTGAAAATTTGAATCGAAACTCTCTCGTTGTGCTGCTCCCATCAGTAGTTCTATTGGCCTTATTGGTTCTACTTTCTGTAGAACAAATATCAATTTTGTTTTAATTGTTTTCATAATATGATAGAATTGGGCTATTGAGCCTCATGTGTGTAAGATGTTCTTCAGGAAATCAGTGATGAGGACTCATTCAAAATACTTTATTGGTGGTAAGCTTTCGCTGTGCTAACAGCTTCTTCAGACCTAAACATACAAATCAAGCATAACATACGTACGCTAATTCTTAGAGCATAAAGCTATACGAACGTACTAACCGGGCAGTCAACAGCAATTCGATAACTGCAATACAACATAGTAACGACTACTGCTAGTAACATCAACAGAAGAACGGCTTACCCCGACGCCACTCCCAAGCAATTAAAAGTTACTACAAATGCGATGCGCGTGACTATTGCGAGGAATTCTTAATCGCCACCGCTAAGATATTAGTCTTAATGCCTCCATGAGTTCATCCCTGTTGTTCATTTCCGGGGATAAACGTTTAATAGCAAGGGCTTCGAGCAGTTTCCTTTGCAATGGAGCTTCCTTCGTGCGGTGCAATATAGAAACTTTAAGATTGGGAGGCGCTTCCTGTCGGTGGTATTGTACACGGTGTCTCGAAAACGCACTGCTTGGATAAGAAGATGGATTCCGCAGTGCTCGTGTATGCTCGTCCATCCGTTTATACAGCGGGCGCTTTGTTTCACCAACGTATTTCTTTCCCATCCTTCACATGTGACCAGCAATCACACGCTGATAGGCTAGTCTAACTCGAACATGATCTATGTTCAAGTCAGTAGAAATTGGCTATAACATTAGCCCGAATTTGCATTGGTGGAATTGCCTTGCTGGGCTTCAACATTTGTGCCAGCTGCACGCACGCGGACCCCCTTTTCCACTTTCGCGCGTGTAATCGTGACACCCTGCCAGGTGTTGTGGGAGAGAATCCGTTGCGCTTTACGTGTCCCTGGAAGTCCCGCCGCGAGTGCGTCCACACGTCGTGCTTCCTAAGGTAGGTGTCTAACGTTGTAATCGCTAGACACTCAACAGCAGTTGGTCGCAAGTTGCCTGAGCACCGCGCGCGACTGTTCGTGCGGACAAGACGTGTGGAGCAGCTCCGTTCATGCCAGTTCCCGTGCGATGATTTTGAGCTGTGGCGGTGCTGCGCACATACAATGGAACGGCTGCCCCCTCCCCGTCTCTATCCCCGTCCGCGTTCTCTGAAGGTACGAGATAATTAAGCTCCAATGAGGACTTCTGAATAAATGTCGTTACCTCTCACGAAACAATTTATACAGTATTCTCCTTGTCTTCGATCCGTTCTGTCTATGAGTAAAAACCACTATTGATGGAAATATTTATACTTTTATTTGTTATTTATTTATTTATTTATGGAAAATTATCAGAAATTGTGCGATGTAGTGAACCGTGACAAGACTATTCAGAAGAGCAGAACTTCTATCCCACAGCTTCTAAATCTTCAACGGTAACATTTCTTGGGCGCCAACAGGATCTTACATTACTAGGCAGAAAGTCAGCGCAATAGACCACTTTTCCCTAGATCAATCCCAAACAAGTCATTCTCCCAAAGTGATGATTGGTATCACAGTTAGAAAAGAAACTGGGACTGGTAAAACTACTGATTCAAATGCACGGGTTGCGTTAGATTTTTAGAGAAGTTCTATCTTTGAGTTAGGTAGCCGGACCCCTGATCACAAGCGTGGCTGTAGTGTCATGGCTTGAAGAAGCGTGGACAAATGAGTTGAGCTTCGCCCTTAACGCTGCCAGCCGCTGCATTTCTGGGATCAGCAGGCCCTAGTTTCTGTACCCCGTTTATGTACTCTCTCGCGTTTTCGCTCTCCTCACAGCGCTGCGTCTCTCCATTGTACCACGGTCGAGCTCACAAATAAATTTTCGGAGCGCTTTTGGTGGTTTTTGCTCTTTCCCCAGTAACGTTCCTGTTCGAACTTCTTGTCTAACTTTCTAACATGCCAGCAGTTCAATCGCGACACGTGCCCCTAAACAATTTTCGGAGCATTCCACAGACGCAGCACTGATAAGATAGTTTTGAGCACTGAATAAGAAATATTCCTGAGAATTTTGTGAATGATTGAGGTAAGACTACGAACTTTCTTACTTCAAGATTTGCAAATCTGGCTTTGTACTCACCAGGAGAAATGAAGTTATCCCCGAAGATCCATTCGTAGGCGAAGATTCCAGTGTCAGTGTACTGTGTTCTGTCCAAGAAATCTCTGAACAAACAATGTTATTTTCTAGCTTTCCGAATTAAATCGATAGAGATTAGATATCTCACAGCACCGGAATGAAACAGTTCCATTCACTTCTTTTGGGAAAGGTTTCTTGATAAGGGTCCAAATATAGTCTTGCCAGTTTTGGTGCACCTGAAGTCAAAGTTATCAATACACTCCGATGAGCACGCAATGGATACTTCTGGGACTAGCTCTAACATACTGAAGGTGCTTATGGCTATTTGTCGATGAGAGGTAGGTATGACAGGCTCGAAAGTCATACTCACATAAACCGACTCTTTAACTTCGTTGACTGCATAGAAAAGGAAGCCGACATTCTCGTTACTTTCTTCTAACCGGAACACATCGAAGTAATCGGTCAGCATAGCCACCTTCTTAGGATCGTTCAATTTCGCTGAAAAGGGTAAGAATATATAAAGATTCCCCTTAACCGCTGAAATACTTAGCAATTCCCTGGGAGCTCTATATTATTGATGAACGTCTGGGAACTCACAGAGATCCTGCCGCACAATGAGGACTCCATCCACTCGGAGAGATCGAAGTGCTCCAGTGATAAATTTGTCCAGTGCTTGGCTGTCATGCAATTCCTAAACAGTAGTAGGGTTTCACAGCAGTCGCTTCCACTCAGCATAAGACCTATCAAGCTGCTCTCAAATAGGGTAATTGGATGGCTTACGATGGTTAAAGTGCCTTCCAGCGGAATAAATCTAGAAAGAATAAAGCACATAACAAGTGAACACAGTGAATCCAAAACCAAAAATTATTACTAAATACGGAATAACACATAACCCAACAAAAACAACCTCGGTAATCAAAATTGATTCATATGTTGGATGTTAGCAAAAGGCACACTACATGGTCATCAAAGATATGAATATTCAACTGTAAAGTATATTATATGTTTGTCTTCGAGCGTACTGGCTCAATCACTTCTGCAATACGAAATCGTAAAGCAAGGCCGCTTGGGACCAATGTTGGACCCACGTTCTCTAGACTCCATGAAAAAAGCTCATCGCCACTGCGAACGCTTGCGGGTGTTGCTGGCGAGCTCTGCTGACGACAACTGACGAGCTGTGGAGAAAAATTTACAGTTCGCCGACACTTTTCAGGAAGAATTACCACTTTCAAAAGGCGAAAGCTGGAAACGACAAAAAGCCAGTTCAACGTTTCACATGTGATTTCCATGTTAACTTTATTCAATCATCAATTGTAATTTTCTTCAACTGAAACATCCTATTCCATCCCGCTTTGTCAGTTGTGCTGTGAATGATAAAAATTTTAATTCTGATTATTTATTCTGATGCCTTTTTGGCCCCCGTATAGCCCACTCTGTATCATCCTGGGTCCTCGGTTGAGGTTGGCGGACCTACTAAGCTGGTATCCGGAGTCGTGATCCCTCCCCGCGGCTTGCAGTGTTTGGCCGGGGCACTGCCCTTCCTCTTCCTTTCGACCCACCTCCCCATAGCCCCCACCCCATACATGCTTGTGTTATGTAATGTCATTTTATTCTATTGTAAGCATGCTTCTTTATTATATCCTCACTGCGAAAATCACGAGTAGAAAAGTACATAAAGAACATCAACTAAACTACATACATACATAGAAAGTCTCGCTTCGGATTGCCTTCTCCTGGACAAGATTCTGCAGCTGAATCAGCCCCTTTCCCTTCCCGCCTACAACCTTGGCGAAGACTGTCAACTAGCAGTTACATCCTCCGAAGCTTCAGTTTGCACACTGGGAAACAAAACAATACCGTGTGTAAGCAATATCTGTGTGTTTTACGGGAGTTTCACACTTGTCAACTTGTTACCGTAACTCGGGAAATTTTGCTCTATTGCAAGAGCTGTTGAAGCTATTTTGCAGAGTGTGAGGTATAGTTGTTTCAGTCTTTGCGCTTAATTGTGAGGATGTTTTTGCAGCACATCGCCGACCCCACACCCGCCCATCGAGGCTGCAAAAAATGCGCGCGGCGGCGGATTTTTGTTTGGCCTGGTGCGCAAACCAAAGGTCACAAACCTATGTACACAACCCACTGGTTTGCTTTTTCTGGAGCATCCACAGTGCGTTAAATCAAATAAAAAGTTATTCGATAAAGAAATCATTATTGAAGGCCAAAGCTCCAGTCACTTTCCCAACCACTGCACAAAGCAACTAACAACCTTAAACAACCGCCGCAATTCCGTTCCACCTAAGAGCACGGAGTCTCAGTTCTGGCCCGAAACGGAAGACCTGGACCCCGAGTGATGATTGGAACGTTCAGCAACGACCAAAGCAGCAGCACATTGTCATTTCTTACGAAAAAAATATTAAAAAATTTAAATCCAGTCGAAATTCTTTTTTGGAATACGCAAGGCTTGTTTGTTATATGATTTAAGATTTTGTCAGCCGGTTTGTGGTGGGTATGATCAAAAAAGAAATTGATGAGTTTACATGATACAGTTACAGAAATGTCAAACTATCTTCACTCCTTCGCATTTTTTACCAACAACATATCAGGTTCCATTATAGTCAGCATCTTAGCCACAGTCAATAGATGGCGAGAGCCGTCTGACTGCAGAGCCAATCAATCATAAAGCGAAGGGTGGTTGTTGTCGACAAACCTTTTCAAGCGCCTTGATTCATACGGAAGAACATTGAATAAGGACAGTTTCTCATGACTTATGTTCGTTGCAGACGTAGCGGTAGCACCAGAACCGAACAACTCGACGACGGCTGAAATAGGCGGAGTGAGGAAAGCCAGGCTAAAATGAGTGCTAGAGGAAATCTTACGCATTATTCTGGTCTTCCCGAGGGGAGACAACTCCAACACGCATCGGTTCGGAGCCTTTGATGACATGACGGACGCACTCATGCAGTTGGCGTTCGACGGCGGGCATTTCTGAGCACCTGCAGACAAAAATCTTAAGACCTTTCTGTAACTTCTACAGAATGGTGATCGATGGGTTGCATATTTGCATAACGACATGATGCTTTCAGCTTCCTTGTGATTGCTTCCCTTATTTGCATATTAACAGATAATGCTTTTAGTATTTCAGTTGCTGGTTCCGTATTTTACATATTAGCAGACGATCATCTTAACATGCAAATGCGGTCATATGAGAAGAAGATAGCGTTGAAGAAGAAGAGAATCTGTGTATTGTCGGCTCGTATATAAGTCGCGCCTAAACCAATAGATTCCGGTCTTCAATAAAGCCTTGAAAATCGTCTCCGTCTTCCACCGTTCCAAAAAGGTGGCGACCACGGCAGGATTCGAACCTGCAATCTTCTGCTTTATTGAAAAATCTAGGAGAAAAGCTGTGTGCTCGATACATCACCAGCATTAATTGCGACATAGAAAATTATCAAGACTTTCACAAGAATGCTGGGTTGTGAACAAAACTTTCGCCCCAGGCGGGACTAGAACCCGCACCTCTCGCTTTCCGGGCAAGTGCGCTACCAGTTACGCTACCGGGGCACCATTTCATTCCAACTCAGCTTTTCATGGTATACGTACCCTATACCACCAGCTTGTCAGCACTCACATGTACAACGTGTTGAGCCGGTTAGCTTCGGCATTGAGCCGCAAGGTTGAAAGCTTCATAGCTATACTAAGCAAGGGGAGCGGATTCGATTTCTCCTGAGGTGAACGGGTTGTTCATAACCCAGCATTCTTAAGAAATTCTACCGAGACGAACTGTGGCCAAAAACGCAGCTAATAATCAAGAACAGGTTATTTTCAAGACTTTGAAGAAATGGACACTACCTCAACTACAGGGGCAGTTCTATCTCAGTTTCGTTACGAGAAAATGCATTCACCAAAACGGTTCCAGCTCCTCGTAATCTCAGATTATCACCGAGACCCCGCCCACTCACGCATGCAGCCTTGACCATGATGCGGACAGAAGCAATCGCTTCGTTTCTGTCGAAGGTGAACGAATGTAGTGATCGAGTGGGTGTAGAGACTGTAGTGGTCCCAATTTCGCTACGAAATTACTGACGGAATTCCAAGGGCGGGCTGGAATATTGGAAAAACTACCCCAGCCAAGATTTCGCAAACTGCTCCCTTTTCGCCACTGCTGTCTGCCTAGGCAGGATCGTGCGGACCTATGTAAACAAAGTATTTCACCTCCCATAAAAAGGGGAACGGTTTTTTCATCATCCAAGAACCTTGAAACGTTTCTCCCTAATTTCAATTCGAATAGTGGCGCGACGTGCGCGCATCAGAGAGTGAGAACCAACACCGCATGAGCGATGCTTTTCTGCGCATATTATTTTCTTCAGCTCCCTTATGGTTTCTTCACTTCTCTGTTCTTGCAATCTCGGCATATTAGTTGTAAGTCTGTTAAATTTTTTGTGCCTCACGAGGTTGACTCGTGGAACATTATTCAAAGGCCTAACGTTTCGACTGAATCGTCGTCTTCAGAAGCTGGCAATTTCCGAGGCCCGGTTTTCAGAGGTCTGTTTTGAGTCTTTTCGCCTTTCCCAGCTCCCTCCTCCCATTAGATTCTCCGACACAAGAGTGCGTCTGCCCTTGCGGTTAACCGATATTGAAAAGCAACCGTGTGTATTTAAGAATCCGTTGACAGCAGAAATGTTGATACCAACATTTCGTTATCGTCCTTTGCCTGAGCCGCCCTGAAAAGATCTATTCTCGCACAACCCAGCCAAGCCTTCCAACCTCTTCGCAATCCGTATACTGGTACAAGACTCCTCGAGGAGGAAATTACTAATGCTGTAATATTGAGCACTTGAACCAGCCAAATCCGGCCGTTTTCTTATGAAATATGAAAAGCATGCATTCGAGGAACCTATTGCGAAATGGCGGAAGTAATTGAAGGAGGAACATGGCTTCAGATTGTACTCAGGCGTGAAACCTCAAAGCAAGAGTAAGTACATAGGTACGGCATTCATGGCGCCGTTTGGGATGGAAACCGAAATGCATTCGCCTTCAGTACGCTATGGCAACACGTTTCATCATCCTATTTCAACGACAAGGAAGTCATAATAGAAACAGCTTGTTGAACGAGGACACGCCGCTGGTGCTTTGCTGTGTAATCGAATGGACGCAGGCAATTTCATGGAAACCAATGCATGACGTTGTGTAAAATCGTTTTTTCACCGGCCTGCATCAGACTCAGATTTCACAACCGGACCATTCATTCTCAGAAGGACATAGCAAACTTTACATGCGCAGTTCGTATTCCAATTTGAATATTCAAATGAAAAAAATCTTATACGACACATATACAGTAAAGGAAAAAATATTGAGAGAGACGAGACAAAGAACTGTGGCTACTCTTCTGGCGACAACAAAGTCCGACGTTGATAAAATGAATGGCCTCGGAATCCTTCGGATACAACGAAGCGATAAGAAAGTTAATAGAGAGCAAACATCGAAGACCCGGCGGCAAGAGAGTGTAATCGAGTGATCCGTTCCAACGCTGTTCAACATTTGTGACTGAATTTTCAGTTTTTAATTTTATCATATTAATATAACTTTCCTTTTATTTATTACCAGATTAGTCCCCCGTCAACCGCCGGGACCTTCCTTTCCTGCGCAAGCTTTCTATCCTCCGCTATGGTCCCTTCCTCCTGTGACACCAACACCTCCTGGAAGTGACGCGTATGCAACACAATGGTGTTTCATACAGTAGAAGGGACACAATCATGATATGACGGTAGATTTTTCGCTTCCCTTCCTCATCCTCCCTTCCTCTCTCCACTGCCCTCCAGCTGCCACTGCAGCACCATGTGGAATGAACGGAAGTGTGCTAAGCAGGTGTTTATATAGCCCTAAGAGTGTTATCACAACTATCCTGCTACAAAACATTGATATCTCAAATCCTGTAAGCTACCCGATTTGTTAGCGGTTTGTTTATCCCATGAGCTTCCTTCTCACTCACTTCATTTTGCGGACGGACACACATACATACACACACACACACACACACACACACATACAGATACACAAACCGACACACAAAGTTAGCGCTTTATAATAATAGAAGGATACTACTATTCAACATAATGTAATGCTAACGAAGTTATTACGCCAATGTGTCACCCCAAGTCAATCAAAAAATTGCCGAAAAACTGCTACACTGGGATGCTAGACGCGCATTTTACGAGAAACCATTCCTTTTGATAGTAGTCTTTTTCACACGAACCGCTAACAAGTATGATCCTACTTTGCATCCTGAAGAATAATCCACGATAGAGGTCAAAATGTCGAAGAAGCGCACAAAATCTACCCAGTGCCCAAAAGCAGGCGAGAGTGTCCCTGAGAGTGTTTTTGAACCGAGTGGTTGTTTGCAGGCGCAGAAGTATTCCACACGGCCTAGAAGATCCGTACCGTCATCGCGCCGTTGCACCAGCCAGCCGATATCGACCCTTCACCGTCTGATTCTAGCCATTTGGCGGATAGAGAGCGTTGAAAAGGGCAGCATGGGTGAGAATCGCATCAAGGCGGAAACCAACGGGCAGAGAAGATCCTAGCTTTTCATGGTCTTTCTTGCAGACCTTATCAGTGATTACCCGTCACCGTGGTGAGCTGCACTTTTCATACCCCATGAATGCGTCACCCGCTGAGACCGCGCTCCGTGCCGCGCTGTCTATATGTTCACACCCGCGCCTCCCCCCTCAATGAAACCACGCAAATAATATTTGCGAACAGCACAATCCTGCTTTTATGAACTTTATTGTGAGCCACCCTCGTAAGACTCTGATTCTCATTATGTACGCAACAAATGCCAACAATGTACTGAGGAATACCATGGAAAAGAAAACAAATCATCAGAAGGGTAGACAGCAGAGAGGGAGAGATATGTGGAGCATGGTTAAAACAGTCGGTATACTGCCCGGAAAGCGAGAGGTGCGGGTTCTTCTCCCGCCTGGGGCGAAGTGTGGTTCACAAACCGCAGCAATTCGTGAAACCCTTCGCAAAGGCGAACCTGAGCGGCGCCGAATACAGCCGTTGAAAAACAAATTACAAATAACGTTCCGGGCCAAGGCCTGCTTCAGAATGTACATTTGAACATATTAATATTATTTCAATTAATTTACACAGAGGTTTACATGAGAACATTTGCGTACGTGGGTCATAGACGATACTCGGAGCATATAAGACTGCATTTCCTTGCAGAGTCTCGCAGACAATAGAATCAAGAATATACCAAATCTGAGTAACTGACGTCGCGAATCTTGCATAAAAGTAAGTGAAACAGTTTCGGTGAAGAGTGACACTTCACCAAGACTGTCTAGTACCACAAATTCGCATTTAAGGAAATCACGAATCTCTACTCTTTAGCATCTCTCGTGAGCGGATGATCATAATACATCGGGGAATAGGTCTGGCTAGTGGATCGTGACGAGATTTCAGGTGAATTCTTCAAGGTCACATGGCAAGCCGACAGTATGTGTATGTCTGGCTATTTGGAAAGATTGAATCTAGCCATTTGATCAACCGCATCGAACGCCGGCAATGGAAATTCATTTCTCGTTCATCGTATCATATTTCGACCAATTTACCATTGAGTTCTCTCCTTCGCGCAGATTCATCGATGGCGAAAAATGTATTTTAGAAATTTATAAGAAATTTAAAGCATCGATATTGAACAACAGTCACTTCGAGAGAGCATTAAAAAAAATTGAGCCCACACTGATTTGGTCACTTTTTTCATTCTTAAAACATTTATGTGAATACTGATACAAATTCATCAATTAAAGCATTCTGCATTGCTTTCTCCAACCATTTTTCATCTTTCTGACATATTGGAAATCCGCCAAATGATCGATTTTGGTCACAACCAGTAACATCGTTTTTTCACATTTTGCATTTCTCAAACTTTTCCATAATCGCCCGCTAGCGTAGCTTGCTGATTCGATCTTGAACAACATCAGAATTGCGGTACTGATCGCTGAGGATGAAAGAATCATTGGAATCTAACGCACTCAGGTTTTTATGTGAGTTTTCAATTGCACCTAGCCTAGAGACAGCACCAGGGGTGCAATCCGTGGTAATATTTTTGCTTCTCACTTTCCTTCATGCATTGCAGTAGCAGGAGAAAAAAGTATCGCAGAAATGATTTTCGTGCTGACTGATTTCTATTTTTTTAATTTTTTTCTCGTAGAGTTTTCATTTCCCTAGTCTTCAAGACACTCAGAATTCATAAAAGAAAAATTTTCGAGATCACCATTGGATTTTTTCTTGGCTAAAAAAACGAAGCATAAAAATCGTTTGCAAGCGACACCCCACTTTGACAAAGCAACTTATTGAAGCAGCCACTTTTTCAGAGCACAAATCTAAAGAGAGTTTGCAGGCTAAAAACAGTTGATAATGAAGATTTATGCGAAGAGTTGCCTCATAATGAAGAGAAAAGCAAATACGCGATTGCGATTGCTTGTGAGTGGCAATTGCCCTCTCGTCAGGAAAATGCGTCCTGAATGCAAAACAAATAGTCAAAAAGTCTCGCAGTACACACAATCGATCGCTTTGAGAAAAGGTGTCTGAAAGACTCCTCATCTCACCAATCGACGATCGCATATGCCTCCACAGCCAATCACGCGATCTCCACGGCTGGCGAATAGGCGTTCCCGAAAATTATCAGCCACCCATATCAAAGGGGTTTGCTTCATTTTTTCCAAAGTAAGCTATCTTTTCAACTACCCTTCACATGTTCTTTCATACTAGTGGCTAGTGTATCCGCTAGCCCTATAGCAAAGCAACCGACTCTGCTGGGACGTTGCTTTTAGAATCGTTTGAATAAAGTGAATATAACTTTTGTACTGGTGCCTTTTTTTGACATCTCAATCACAGACCCGCTGTGGCAATAATCATATTAGAACATCGGCACTAGCGCACTTAAACCGGTAATCGGAGTGCGGGTTTCCGCGTCCCACCGAGGCGAAAGTTTTACTCTTAATCTAGCATTCATTCGGTGCAAACTTTCGAAGGGCTGACGCGCCAAAAGTAAGCAGATTAATAGTAAATTAGGCAGTAAAGTAAGTATAATATGTAAATATGCGACAGAGCAAAATCATCATGAGCTCCTCGGGGATTTGACAAGCCTCACTAGCCCATTCAAACATTTAACAGCAGAATAAAACATGAAAAAACGCCGCTCTTTCCAAAACGTGTGTAAATATTAGGTTGGTTGAAGTTCTCCATAAGTCTTGCAACAAACTGGCTGAATTTTGATTTTAATATTTTTATTATCTTTTTGTTCCATTCATCCAGCATGATACACACCATCAATATCTACAACCTATTGCCAACGCACTAGAAGCTGTTCGATGCCTCTCTTGTAGAACTCCACTGAATTCTGATCGAAGAAAGATCAGATGTCGATTTTGACATCATGATGGTTAGGATGAGATTTCTTCTCTAGGACGTGGTCTGGAGAGGGAAGCAGGTGGGCATCCTTTGGCTCGAGGTCAGGGCTATAAGGTGGATACGGAAGAACTCTCCGTCCGAGAGTCCAAAATTTTCCTGGATTTTCTTAGCAAGAGGTGGTTCAACGGTGTCATAAAAAGCAAACTTTGCCTTGTTTTTCTTTCGTATTGAAAGCGTTGCATTCGAGCTGTGGATAGTTGACTTTCGCGTTGACTGCGACATCTACACGGAGGGGTTTCCAGAGCTTAACTCCTCTCGTATTCCACCAAAAATCCGAGAAGGCCCTACTTGGACGAGGTTGAACTTGAGCAGTAAGAACTCCCGAAGCGTTTGAGCTGGACTACCGCCGCTTGTTTATTTGTTAGCACACTGTACCCACTCCTCATCTTCGGCAAATGTGATGGATGGTCAATCGTAGAATCCATAGTAAGTCGACTTGAACATGGGATGTCAGATCGTGTTTGGAGCTGAATCGGGCTCAAGGCACGTGGGACCAAACTCTATATTTTCGGATCTTCACAAGTCTTTGGAGATGCCACAGTGCTGTCTCCTTGTCGCATCGGAATTGCTCTAGCAAATGATCGATAGTCTATCCAGATCCCTTTTCAACAGCGTCAGATAGCATCGTGATTGTCAGTCACGGGGTGGTTGGAGTGTGGATCATCTTCAAATAAAAAAGTCAACGCTGAGCAGAGTGAAGCGCCTTGCACCGTGAATTGAGAGAGCGTGCCCTCGCCCATCTTCTGGCTAATCCTTGGTGTAGCATGACTTGCGGAACATTCCAAGCAGTACTCGTAAAATTAAAGGCACGAAATTCTTTTCGTTTCCAGCGAAGTTTAGTTTATTAGGCTTCATTTGCTATAACTGAAAGGTGCTGACCAGAAAAGCAAATCAGCGCGCAGATATCAGCACGAAAGCTATACGTATTGAAGGTTCAAAGGAAAAACCTTTTTATTCAACTCTCTGTTTATCTAAAACAGAGCACTCGGTTACCTATAGCCATCAATGTACTCTTATTTTAGTTCTTTTTTTCCAGTTTTATTTCCGAATTCTCGAGCCTCTTTTGTTACTGCATTCATACGAAAGTTCACTAAATATTATAAATAAATATGTATGTGGGGGGGGGGGGAGAAGTTCGATGGATTCAGCACGGGATTAAACGCCTAGCAAAGAAGAAGAAAAAATACGGTGATTCAACATCTACCATCATCTCTATAGAGGAAAACACGTAGGACAACTGCTGCTCGAAATCCCGGACTGTTCAAATACATTCCGTTCAAAGTGATTTTTGGCCATGCGTCTGTTCAAATTCGTTCGACGAACATCCACTTTTCCACCTTGCATATTTCTGATATAGAGAAAATCTCGAAATTACGTGAGCATATCAGGCTGCTCAAAATTAAAGAAGCGCACATTAAAACAGCCGATTGCAATCAAGGCGAAGAGTATTTATACCGCTCTCCATCAATGTTCCGTCCAACCCCTATGCCACATGTAGGAACTTGAGATTTACTGTCACGGCAGACGGAGGATTACAACAAAATTGATGATGCTTAAATTCTAAAATTCCTTACTAACATTTCCGATTGTTATCACTTCCGATCACTCGCTATCCGTGTTCCGTAAGACCTCCCATACCATGTAAAAGCCGAGGTTCCACTGTAACCGCGAAGGCCACAGCGAAATTGGTAGTAATCACACTCTGTCGCTCCTTATTCCTCATTTCTTATGAGTCGCTACCACTTTTCTCACACACCTTCTTGATCCCCGCCTCACCCCTTATAAAACACTCGAATACGAGCATGTAACTGCCAATGCGATAAGCGTAACGAATTTAGTTGCTTCGGTACCCCGGTGCACGTTATCAGCTCTTATCACCTGCTACCCTTTTTAGCTCCCTGGTTGAGTTCCCGTGCACATAATTCTTATAGTGCAAACATTCCCGATCAGTAGTTATCAAATTCGTCCACCCACAACCAATGTTCGTATCCAACCCCCTCCCAACATATTCCTTAACGTTTGACCGCTCCTGGTCGAAAACCAGTGAAGTTATGAATTTCCGGTCAGACAGACAGACACAGAACCGCTTAGCGTATTACATCTAGCAGGATACCTGAGACTAGGATACTAGGATTCTCATCTTAGAATTAGTGCGTTTTCGTCTCCGTCAGTTCATTGTTGGCAGAGTTCTTCACTAAAACGATGCTTTATTGACAGCTTTGCCAACTATTGTAGAATAAACACCACTCCTTCATTTGGAACAAACAATGAGAACTATTACAATGATTTATTAAAATTTCAAAGATATGATAGAATAATGCACATAGACTGGTGTTGAGTCCACGAGCCACGTGAGCTCGTGCTATTTGATCTCCAGTGATACCAAACTCAGATGATTGGTATACTTGAAGGCCAAATAGGATGCCCGGAGTTGTGCAGCTGAGATTCGTTCACATAATCTGAGTAACGCGTTTCTGAACAGTCGACGAAAAATCTCTGCAAAGGTGAAACTGTTTCGTTTACGTTATCTTCACACACTATGGCTGTTCTCATTGAGCTCCACACGGTTACCACACATTAGGGTACAAGAGCAGCGCGCGAGCTAAACGTGATGGAAAATTCCTTGAAGAAACTTCATAAGAACGCGACAACACTGAGCCCAAACCGCACAAAGATCAACGCAAATAAGAGGCTCTATATAATCATCTGCCGACAACGAGCACCCAACTATCCAAATAAGGATGTAATGTATTGCATTGGCTTCTGCACGGGAGGAGGTCCACTTAGTATTATGTTTTTTTTTTTCGCTACTTGCTTGATTATCCAACCTTTTTGACTTTCTTCTGGCCATGATCTACATGCAAATGGTCCTTCAATTCATACGTTTTCTCAATTTTTATAGGGTTGCCTGTAAATATGATAAAGTCACCATCTACTACTTTTCGCCAACATCACCGTCTGTACCACACTAGACGTTTCTCGTGGAATCCTTAGATTAGTCACCATTTGGGAAAATGAATGTTGTAGCCTTCTGAAAAAACTTTTATCAGCGACTCTGCAGGAGTTACTTTGAAAAATCACTCACGAATTAAATATGAGGTAGATAATCGAATGGATTCCATTCATTGCAACCCACACAATACACGACAAATAATCGGAGAGCGTGGATTCTCCCATCATTGGCATCAGGTAGTTCCAATAGATGAACGCGAATAAAAAGTACAGGAAAATCATAGATACCTGAACACTATGGCTAGCTCGTTAGCTCTCAATTACTTGATTCTTCATTATTCGAGGATGTTCATGAACTTCGGTACGAGCACCATATGCATTGCGAACACAGAAATGTTAGCTGCAGTTGGCGAAAAGAAGCCGACAGCTAGCTCCGACTCTATTCTCCCTGAGAGAAATCGGTCAGTGTTGTACCCTCTACAAAGTCGCAACCTCTTCTGAACATTCTATTAGGCTTTCCAACAAATCCTAAGTTCTTTTTCAGAATCGATTTTTTCGCCGGAATTGATGATGGATTACGATATGATTGGGTTGAGTTCATAGCGGAGCTGGGAATGATGGAATTTCCCAGTGGCGGAAAAAGCAACGAAATCCGTCGAGAACACGCAAAGTAGGATCCCTTTCTTTGCCCGATGACCTCGGACGAGCTAGCAACCAACTAAGAGTCATTTGCAAATATTAAACCGATATCAACAAAGACCATGCACTCCATGGGAAAAACCTTCAGTATATGAGCTCTAAATGGAGTATCTTGTCTGAATGATAAGATAAGTGATGCTGCTAACAACACGCTAATAGGCGAAGGACAGGCGGCAGAGGCGGGGTTCAGAAAGGGCCAGGGAGCTGAAGTAGGGCCTTACTACGGAAAGGCCATATATCGCTTCCTTCGGTAGCTGACCACTGGTTCAAGTGGTAAATGTACTTCCATGCTTGCTACACACTTTTATCGTAATCCATTGCTTTCACTATTTCCCCAAATCTATACAAAAAAATTGAAGCCGAGGCATTAAAAAAACCAGTGAAATATTAAGGGCAAGTCATGGATAAGATTGAAATGCATGTATAATTGATTTTATCGCCTTATGAGGGAAATCGATCTTGAATTGCTGTGGCTATTCTCGTGAGATGAGAATTTTTTAACCGAGGTCTAAAATATCAACCACATTTTAATAAAATGAAAAACAAATATGCGCCGCATAGGCAGAAACAACGAGAAAAGGTATGCTTATAATACAAGAGGGTCTAGAGAGGAAAGTCAATTAAAGTAAACGAAGAAACAAATCGAAAAGCACTCTCGCAGGGCAGACAGGCTACTGTGTAGGAAGAGTAGGGATTGTCTTCGACTAACCAATTCCTAGGCCTAAATTCTAGGCGTTTGCAAGAAATAGGAAAGAGAAGGATTTTTAACCAGATCAATCTCCGCAGATATATATATGCATTGTGTAGAACAAGGACAGTAGTAGGATATTTTCGCGTTCAAAATACGGCATTCTCGTGCACGACTACATGCAACTTATGTTGTATTTTTCTTTTTTCAAAAATTACATTTCAGTTTTGGCACTAGAGTTGGACGCTTATGGAGTGAGCGTATTGAATTAGAAAGCATAAGCTGGCCGCTTCAAAAAGTTTGCCCGCAGGGGAAAGTACAATGAGCAAAATGGCTGCCACACAAATTGCAACCCTTTAACTGTCGGCTCGTTGTGCGGTTAAGCTTAGGATAACTCTCAAGGAAACACCTTTAGCCGGCTGCATGAGAAATTCCTCCAGGCTTCGCGCAGCCTAGCGCTCAGAGCATCGTTTGATTCACTTCACAAGGAGGATACAGGTCGAACGTGACGATTTCGGTAATGGCGACATAAATTCTGGGTGTGTTTTAACGATGATTCTTAAATCTGCTTCTCCAAATCTGCGAAACGATTTTCTGAACGTAGTTATGAAGCCAGATAGTGCAGCGGTAGCGGCCTGGGCGACGAACAAGAGGTCGTGGATCGACTCGAGTTCGAGTTCTTACTTTTGCTTTTCTTGGAAACATTGTTTAAGGAACTTTTATCCATACTTAGCCATCAGCGATTGCCAATCATACAAGTGGAAAGAGCTAGCGAAGTGCTTCGAACACTGTGTGCGTCATCAGCAATGACCGTCTCTGGCACCCGTAGCGCATGCGTCATGCACTTTCTTGCCAAATAGATGTGATTTTCGTGTTCAGCGCATCAAAGTACCCCTTGTGACAACTTTTGATCCAAATCCAAAGTTTTAACCTAAAGTCGAAAATGTGGGCACACACGACCGACAGGACACGGCAAATGACGCGCATAGTGTTCGATGCTCTTTGCCAGCTCCTTCCTCTTATAGGATAGGCAGTCGTTGATGATTTAGCATGCATAAGAGTTCTTTGAACAATGTTTTCAAGAAATGCAGCTGAAACCTCGCTTTGCTCGTCGGCCCGGGCCGCTGCCACTGCACTATCTCGCTTCATAACTACGTTCAGAGAATCGTTTCGCAGATTTGGAGAGCAGATTCGAGATCAGCGTCCAAAAACACATCTAGTGGTGTATGTCTCGTTACAAATGGCCACTTCGACCTGGTATCCTTCCCTTGTGAGATCCTGCGACCACATTGCTTCTGACAGGACTGTTTCCAATTAGGGATGCAATGAAGGCGGCGTAATTTGATCATTTACAAACATAGATGCTGTTATCGTTGCGCAATTCCTAAGTTGTCAGAAAATGGGGAAAAGGGAATGAAAAATAGTGAAAACTACTTTGCTTGATAACTTTCACCAATTGCTGACAGTATAGTGAACCACCTAGCAACTTGAATATTCCCTTTTCTTCATACTTTTATTTTCCGAATTGTGAGAATTAGATATGCTCCTTACCTGAATCGTTAATACGGAGCCTCGTTTTTACTCAGTTGGACCTCGAATCTGAAAACTCAGATAATACAGGTACCGCAACAACCAGCAAACAACAAAAAGAAAGAACTTACAAAGCAGGCGATATGGCAAAAAATCGATGCATAAGTTACTGTCGACGATACGACTGTAACCAGAATTAGATATCTACCTGAACAGAGTACCATGTATATAAATGAGTTACTGCTGGAATATGAAGCTGATCTTGAGTTGCTTACTAGTTTCGGACATAACAGTTGACACATAATCGTCTGATGGGAGATAGGACCACGAAAATCTATTCGGATTGAATACATAATTACAATAAGGAAGAAGCTTCAGTACGAATGGAACAAGAAAACTCATGTAACAGACCACGAAAAGTACCTGCAAAAAGGTGTACAAGCCCCGCAAGCAATATCAAAAACTAAATAGAAGCGCAAATCTTCTAGTTAACAGCGTAGAACTCCTTTTTAAGAATTTTCGCTGCTAAAGGACCCAAGCCATGGCTCTCAGAAAGCGGAAAAGCCTGCATGTCATGAAATTTTCTTGTTTTTGCGTACAAGGATGTACTTCTCTGCATGAGTTTAGTGTTTTTTAAAGCTGAGTCGAGTTGCTTCAAAATCTTCCTTCCGATCATCCTATGTTGAAAAATGCTCAAGCTGTTTGAAAAAGGACTGGATTTTCAAGTTTTTACTCCAGCGCATAACGAACGTCAAAGTTCGAACGTTGGTTCAAAATTAAGACCGTTCGCGCGCGTTCCAGCAACAACTATATACTGCTGATACCTCCTTTTGAGTTCCCCACGAGGTTACCAAAAGGCTTTTATTGGGCTAACGTTTCGGCGGGATCGTCTTCTTCAAAGCTTGAAGGGGGTCTAAACAATTTATGACTATCCAACAAACGTCTCACCGTCCATAATGATTAAAGAGTTCATTTCATCATAAAGGTAGGCTACCTACCAAAGCACATTCCGGTTCTTGAGGTACCCTTCAACAGTGAGAGAATCGGACTGTTCTGTATTCCAAGTCACTGGTGTATTAAAACTTATGCATATTTTTAAGGTGCCCTTATGTAGAGGGGATTGTGCACAGTAACTCTTCTTACTAGCGGAAGGGGCGGAGCATCATTCGAAAATTTTCCGCGATATCCCTCTTGACCCTGTGAGGGCTCTATTTGTTTCAAAGTTCACGCCGATATCAGAACCGAGAGCATCACCCACTAACTTCACTTAGGTATGATTCTGGAAGTACCTCGGTGATTGCGGCGCTAAAAAGTGTAAGCGAAAGTTCATATAATATTTGTCGATGTCCTACTATAAAACCAAGTCTACTCATGAAATAATGTGGCCCTCTGAGGTTCCAACGTTGTTCTGCCTCCCTAATTGCTTCCTCATTGCTACCAGTTTGATTTTCAACCAGTGAAATAAATGTTCGATTCTTTGCCGCCAAATCTTAGCATTCACCTGCGATTACTACGTTTGAAAGATTCCGATTACAAACTTACATAATTGAGCCAAGAAGATGTAAGAATAGGAAACCATTTTTCTAGTAGTAAAGAGGAGAGCCGGTTGAAAGTTAAAAACAGTGTAAATACGAGCATGGAAAACCAAAGTCCTGTAAGCATCGCACCGACAACCTGAACGATACAGCTCAAATTATGTAATAGCATGAAAACTTCAGTATGACGCTGTCCTGAAGCCTCATAGGGATCTAATGTTAAACAACAGCTTGAGGCTCCGAATTTTATTTTGAAAAACGATTGTAATATTTCGGTGTTCAGCACTTCGTCAGGCCTGGAATAGCTTTTTCTTGTTGGGGTAGAAGTAGAAAACTCTATTTCTTCACGTTAAACGATGATCTCATTTGAAAATAGCCATATGTATGTTGAAGTGAGAAACCGATGCTCACAAACTATCCTTTACCAGTGGCGTCTCACAAGGAGGTGCATTGTCACCCTTACTATTATTTGCATACCTACGAGGTGCCCTCTTATCTGAATAGAAACCCGTTAGTCAAAATTAAAATATACGCTTATGGCAGAACTACTATGCATATACGGAAGTTACAATGAGCAAAATTATGACTGTGTATACCAAGCCTTAACTCACTCCATTCGCAACATGATGAAGTGGGCTATGGCCTTGGGGAATACCTGTAAATTTTGCGAAAACATCGGTACTTCACCAACAAACATCCAGAATCACATCATATGGAATTGACGATATCACACGCGCTAGTTCCTTGAATTCCTTGACCTACATGGGCCTTCTCATGAATATGATTTAAATTTTTCCCATAATATTGATGTTATTGTTCGGAAACAAAGACAAATTGTTGTAGCGCACCTACTAGTGTATAGTACTAAATAAATAAATTAATCTGTCGTATAATTACGAACTACAAGCTTACAAAATAGGAGGTCCAGCAGATGAAAACCAGCCAAACTGACACCTAATTCAAGGTCAATATTTCTAGTCGAGTCTAGACCAAAAACTTTTTATCCCCGAAACATTGAAAAACTGACGGAAGTAAGTCATCAACTTCTGGATGTGTCTTGG